TTGTTTAAAAAAACTATTGAACTTCCCCCACCGCTTTATTTTGATAGATAGAACAAGACGTTTCAGAGAAAAAATGTAGGGAAATGGTAATTAAATATGAAAATGATATCATCGATATACTTTCATTGAACAAAATTCTATAAAAATCCCATTTTTCTACTTGGTGTTGGTTGTTACGCCCTCTAGCGGAGGTTTGACAAACTCGAAAATAATTTCCAGCAATTTCTCTTGGCGACTTTTATCATGATTTTTTTTTCTCAAATCTATACGACCAATATCTTATATGGCAACTCGCTTAACTGATCACCCTGTATATGTATTGAATAGGCTCTGAAACTACTGGATCGATTTGTATGAAAATTGGTAGGGAAGTAGCTTAGTACCAAGAGAAGGTTATAGGATACTTTTTATCCCGGTACCATTAGGAAATTCAAGATGGCGGATCTAATATATCGGACGAATTTTGTAATTATGGTCCGATTCTATTCAAAATTGGTATCTAAGGGTTTTCGGGGTCGGAGATTATGATTCTTTCGTCAGAATTTAAAAATTCAAGATGGCGGTATCAATATGGCGGACGAGTTTTGCAATTATAATCCGATTCTTTTCAAAATTGGTACTTTGGGATTTTCGTGATAATCGTGATCGGGGATTATGATTCCTTCGTCAATATTAAGAAATTCAAGGATCCAAAATGGCCGATTTTGTAATTAGGATCCGATTTTATTCAACTTTGGTATCTGGTGATTCTCGGGGTCGGAGATTATGATTCTTTTGTCAAAATTAGGAAATTCTTTACTTTAAATTTATATAAAGTTTATTTTCTTCCGTGTTTTCTTCTTTTTAGCATCTCGCTTTACATTCATGATAAAATGATTGTCACCTAACCTAACCGGGGGAAAAATGTATGACAAAACAATTGCATTCAAGTCGATACGAGTTTACTGAACGAGAACAGCACCTCTAAATATGTCTAAAAATATCGTCAAGTTGATATTTATAAAACACTAATGTGTAAAACCTGTTTAGTTGTAAAACAATAATTATTATTATATTACACAAGGAGAACACAAAACAATTCAAGCTATACTTAGTGTCTCTGTATCTAGTAAGTACTTACTAGATTTTTTTCCCTAGTAATACAAGATTTTTCTAGGAAATATGCATAATAGGTACTTGATAGAAGTGATATGTAAGTTATCTGATGATGGACAATTTGAATTCGGGCAAAAAAAAAACGGTTTCGTCATATGGGTAAGCGAGGTAAAAAGCTCTGTAAAAAGATAAGTGTATTTCGAAGGTTGGCAGCACTGAGTCATCATCAAATGTGTGTCATAGTTAATGAACGCTGTATTATAAGTTTATTCAAACGAATTCATATTTATTTATAAAGATAATCTCCTATAGTAACCTAGTGATAGTATATTAGGAATATGAGGTACTGTTATTTTAGGAAGATAATAGTTTGGTGACCGAAAATTTGACTTGATTAGCTATTCTTTGAACTATTGAAATATAATTCATGTTTAGATATGAATGAAGCATTTCAATGCAATATTTGGAAAATCTGAAATATATCATTATGGGTTTTCTAATTTTTAATTAAATTCATTCATAAATAAATCGTTCATTTCCTTGAAATCGATCTTGAAATATTACAACGAAAAAATGGAGGTACCGGTACCACTATGAGTAAGGCTTGGAGTAAGGTTTTGAAACAGTATACAGGAAAATCATGAATATGGGGAAAATCAAGGAATCCTTCTCTTTTCGTTTACCAGGGAAGTTTCTCGTGTTCCATAGTCTTCCGTAATATTGCACTTTTACTTCCATATGGGAATAAGTATACTTATACAGGATGAGCAAAAATAACGCAAATTACTGCTGACAAGGGAGCTACAGACGCTGCCCTGAAGATGGTTTTCATTATTATTCCCGAAACGGAATGTATTATATAATTAAATAGTGTCCGTTTAGAGAACTTTCGACCCACCCTATCTGCAATTATTTTTGAAAATTGCGAGATGCCCTAATAAAAAAGGGACATTTTGTTCGAAAATGATGAAATGCACAGTTTTGGAGTATAATCCGAACATAAGTCATTCGCAAATTTGTTATTTTTAATTTTGGCAATGTTTTTTCCAAACTGAGCTTTGTATCGAAGTCAAATAATTACTTTTTTTAAAGGAAAATCTGAGAATATTCAATTTCTGTTGTGAAAATGCAACAATAATTATTGCTAACGAAAATATGAGGGCTAAAAATAGGTACACTGGTACACTAAACCAACACTATTTGATGCACTCAACAAAATTTTAATTTCGTTTAAATTTTTCAATTTGTCTCAAAAAATGAAGCAAACAATCGAAATTTTATCATTTTATCTCAAACGTTTCGGAAATAATAATAAAAGGCCATCTTCAGGAGATTAGCAGCACTTTTTTTCTACCCAAATCAATTAGAACTTTTTGTAATTGCATCTACTGAAAAGGTATTGATACCCTATACCATGTATATAAATCACTCGCATATTTGAAAAAAAAAATTGTTATTTTTTATGTTATCAATGTTTTTTCACTTTCAAACTGATCTCAGTCTAGAACTGAGCTCTGTAACAACGCCGTATAATTTATTTTTTTAGGAAAAACTGAAAATATTCAATTTTGGTTGTGAAAATGCAACAATAATTATTGCAAACAAAAAAAATGAGGTTTAGAAATAGGTAAACTAGAACAAAACTGTTTTATGCACTCCTGAAAAAAATTCAAAATTTCGTTTAAATTTTTGAATTTGCCTCAAAAAATTAAGCAAACAATCAAAATTCCATCATTTTATCTCAAACGTTTCGGAAATAATAATCAAAGGCCATCTTCAGGAGATTAGCAGCATTTTTTTTTCGACCCAAATCAATTAGAACTTTTTGTAATGGCATCTACTGAAAAGGTATTAATACCCTGTATAAATGGTCGCTACTTTTTGCTTTATCGTTTTTCCGAGGTTTTTTCGAACATTCGTATCATAACTAATATCGTTAATATGAATGGGTGTATATAAAAGCTATAAATAGTTATGACTGATCAAGTGCATCACCTATCGTCTAAAAATAGCCAGATGCAGTTTTTCATCTTGTTTGGTCGTTTTTTTTCACAAAACCATCAAGTACGAAAATATCCTGGGCGGCAAAAATATGTCTTTGTTGGCGAGACATTTTCGTCACATAAATTCGATCTTAATTTCAGGTTGAAGCCTCTGCCAAGTGAAGGTGAAATTCTATATAAAATGGGATTTTCAGCAAATTGGTTGGTCAGGTTAGGTTAGGTTGGTTGAATGGGATTTTCGGCAAATTGGTTGGTCATGGTTATAATATGGGAAGTTGAAATGATTTATTTTGATGACAATTCAATCCATGTATGAAAAATCCCACGAGCCGCGTGATTTTGTCATTATGACAGCGAACAAATTTTGCCCTAATTTTTCCAGCGAGTCATGGGCGTTTTTTGTCCAAGATAAGGTTGCACAGCATGGGGATCTCGGAAACGGTAGGAGATACGAAGACGGTTAAATGGGGAAAAATTTGCGCATTCGGAGGCTCATACCAACAGCCTTCGAAAATTTTCAATTTTTTTTTTAGTTTTTCAGTTATATCGAAAATAGTGAATTTTTGGAATCTCTATTTTATTTTTTTCCTCCGTTATTATTAGAGATACAGGAAAACTGAAAATACTTTTTCATAGCAACTTTTGATGACGTTTAAAGTGGTGATACCGATTTTTCTATGCGACGTTTCGTATTCGTAGAACCATCATCAACTTTTGTTTTTTAAATACGGCCCTGATAATTCTTTCACAGATTCTGAAAGCTTTTTTTATTCTGAATTCAACCATGTATTATACAAGGTGGTTTGAATGTGTTTCGAACTATTTTTAGCCATCATCAATGTTTTTTTCGAAATTCCAAAGGAAAAATGCCATCAGTTCCACTTATTTTGAAGGAAAATTAGCCAACAAACTAATACCCTATCAACTAGTTCCGACTGATAGACTTATAGGAATAATTAGTTCGAAAAATTCAATTATGACAAGCTCCTTCGGATTAAAATATGAATACAATTCATAAACAATTCGAAGCGCTGCATTGAATAATTTAGTGGATTTTTTTTTCACTTTTCAGTATTGAACAACTAGTCCATCAATGTTTGACACTGAATAATCAGAAATAAGTGAAACTGATGGCATTTTTCCTTTGGAATTTCGAAAAAAACATTGATGATGGCTAAAAATAGTTCGAAACACATTCAAACCACCTTGTATAATACATGGTTGAATTTAGAATAAAAAAAGCTTTCAGAATCTGTGAAAGAATTATCAGGACCGTATTTGAAAAACAAAAGTTGGTGATGGTTCTACGAATACGAAACGTCGCATAGAAAAATCGGAAAACTTAAAACAATTTTGAAAATTTTCGAAGGCTGTTGGTATGAGCCTCCGAATGCCCAACTTTTTCCCCATTTAACCGACTTCGTATCTCCTACCGTTTCCGACATTTCCATGCTGTGCAACCTTATCTTGGACAGACTGTAAAATAATTCGCATTCTCTATGTGATCAAAATATTAAATTCTTTCTCGATTTATTCAACAGAAAACAACTACTTTCCTGGCTATATGCCACGACGAACATTGAATTATATCTATTGAACACACACGATAAGAATTTGAAAACAAAATCTTCTGAAGTTGAGAATTTGCATTCTCCTTCAGATAAAAATATGTATAGGCACATAACATCATTCTGAATATTCAACAGAAAACTACTATCTTCCAGGCTATTTGCCACGTCGAACATTGAATTATATCGAATTCAACTCATTTTGGATTTCAAACCCTACTCAGTAACCTGTGGTCCAGTTATCTTTCTGCCATTCTTCATGAACATAAACACAATTCGGAATGTTTCCAGGTCCTGTATGATGAAAACATTTTTCGCGCAAACATCGACTCACCTTCCTGTATAGCTTCACCCACGTGAGATCGCCCTTGGAATCGGTGTACTGGAGACCGAAGAACCACACCTCGCGCAGCCCTATCGTCTTCACCACCTGGTCGAACAGCTGCTTGCCGGACGTCGTTTGCTGGATGGCAAACTCCAGCTCGGCGTCCATCGTGGTCACCCGAACGTTCATCTAAAAAAAGCATATCGAGGTACATTTTGAAATCGAAAATTTCGATGCAAGTGATCACTGCGCAAAAAAAATCACCGCGCAAGAAATTTTCCGATCACCACGCAAGGAATCACCCGATCACCACGCGAGAGAAGACATCACCATACAACGAGGAAGCCTCGCCGAGAGAATCACCGCGTAAGCAGTCACCACGCAACCAAATTCACATAAAAGAAAATCACCACGCATCGAAATTAACGCATCCGACAAGGATAAAAAAGTTATAATGTGAATTTGAGCAAATTTTTTGGAGGCCGGTTTATTTTTCAGGTGAGTGTATATATGTATAAAGAAATCACAACATAACGAAATCATGACATACGTTTATCACCGTGCAGACAAAATACATTAGAACGAAATCACCACACAAGGATTCATCCGATCACCAGCTAAGGGTTGGTCTGACCATCAGGCGAGAATTCGTCTGATCACCACGCAAGAGAGGACATCACCGCGCAACGAGGAAACCTCGATGAGAGAATCACCACGCAGGCAGTCACCGCGCGAATAAATTGCAACACAACGAAATTTGAGCGTGAAAACTACAAATACTTTCGGAACGACGATTAGAATGAATCGATTTTCCAAACTAACAGGCACTCGCAACGAAATCTGTATGCAAAGAAATCACTATGCGACATAATCACCGTGTAAACAAAATACATCAAAACGATATCACAAAGCAAAGGAATCACCAAGTAAGTGTATCACCACGTGATATAATCACTTGTGAAATCACTGCGTAGGATATATACTAGAAACAGTTTTATCGCTGATAACGGCTGATGAACTGCCAGCTCCTTTGATCTAGTAGCCTGATGTCACTCCAATTTCGGTCGTATCAAGTTTGATTGATCCGTTTTAGGAAATTTCATCTGAGGAAACCACGAAAATATGAGAAAATCAATTTCGCAAACTACCAGTTACACGGAATCATCAATAAAAGGTAATCATTATTGTTGTTTATTTGTATATTGTCGTTGATTCATCTTGTCTAAAAACACTCGAACTTTTTTTATGGGATAAATTTCCTTACTATAACTCAAATATTTACCCTCAGTTATTTCTCTCGACAAACTGACTTTAGAAAAAATTGTGAGACCGTAGGTCGAGCAGTTTTTCTCGTAAAATTACTGATCGTTACCAAGAGGAATGTATCCCTTAAAAAAAATGTTGGCTATGGTTCTGCAGGGTTGACATAAAGCTAACAGAGCCGTTGTGTTTTTTTCGTTATTTTGAAGTTATAAAAAAAATAATTTTGAGCCGTTCGGTTTTTCTGTTGAAAGAAGGGTAATAAATTCGTGAATATGGTAATAAATTAGTAATAAATTATCAACAAATTATACTACTAATGCAAATCTAAATTATTGAAGTGGTTCCGAAACAGGGTTGGCATGAATTAATTCATGTGAATTAAATCAGTGATTTAATTCGTGAATTAATTCCATTGACTTTTTTAGAAAAAGTCATGAATTCATTCAAATTTTAAAAAATGAGACAAATTGCACTATTACCTTTGATATTAACTAGTTTAAACTGAAAAATTCGATCGTATTTTGGCAAGACTTTGTAATTTCAAGCATGACAGAGATTTTTTACTAACAGATTTATACAGTATCAAGTGTCATCCATAAAGTCCATAACATATGAGAACAGGTTTATTATCACAGCATCGAATTTTTTTCTCTCGGCGATCCATTATGCATATCCGATAACTTGAAAATCGATTTTGACACATGTCACGTGATCACTGGTATGGTGATAAGTAAAAATAATACTATAAAGCGACGAAAAGTGGGGTTAGATAACAAAATATCCATAAACATTTCTTATTAAGTTGCTATTCCACATTCAGTTTCGAGCAATTTTTGAAGGAGAATTGGAAATAGCTATATTTTTTCGAATATTCTTCAATTTTGTTACAATTCTCTTTTTTTTTTCTGACAGTAGTGATGTTGATGATGTACAAGTTGAATAGAATTCAATTTCATGCTCACATACGGAGTTTCCAGCCATTATTTGGGAAAACTGAAGATAGCTATTTTTTTTTTTTCAAAATAACTTCATCTTCCCATCTAACCCCACGTTTTGCCATCGTAATTTTTTGAATTTACCGCCATACCAGTGATCAAGTGATATGTGTCAAAATCGACATTCAATTAGTAAGACATGCATAATAGATTCCCGAGAGTTTTTGAAGGAAATAAAAACATATTTTTTTTGTTTCTTTTTTTCTATTCCGGTTTGGGTAAATGAAATTTGTTTGTTTTTATTTTCAAATGAATTAATTCAAAAAAGTCTGACTTAATTCAAAAAGTCGGACTTTGATGACTTTTTTATAAAAGTCATGACTTATTCCAACCCTGTTCCGAAATGGTTTCGATAGGTATATTGATGGTCTATAAAAGCCTACTTCATGCCCTTGATACATAAATAACTATCTTGAATTGCCTCAGAAATCCCTGCAATTTGGAAATTATAACTTGGAAGTCAAACAAAATTGAAACGTTAACCCTCACTTCAATCGAAAAACTATTTCACTCAGTATTTCAATTATGTGTACTCGAGGTCAACACATTGTATTTTTTTTACCCATTAAATAGCTAACCAATCAATGTTCCTGTTAATTACTAGGTAAGTATGTCTCGTGCAGTTCTATAATAAGTTTATCTCTCGGCAAACATAATTCGCATTTTTTTTATGAGCAGTTATGGTTAACCTCACGATCTATACAGGGTGTCCCGAGAGACTCACTTACACTTGAAATCTTCATAATGAAGTTTATACAGGGTTTCCCAAAAGGACCGGAACGGCCGAATATTTCGGCAAGGGCTTGACATAAAATTATGAAATTTGGTATACGGGGGTGATCAGTTGTGCCGGATCTGAAAATAATATTTGCAACGTTGCCAGTTTTACGGTTTTTCCTATAGAGCCCTCAACTTTATTTTTTTAAACGTAATGCTATGTTTATTTTCAGCGCATTCAATTTGTCGTCTCAAAACTACTATGACCCTTTAGTATCAAATTTGTATTCCCTTCATTTTTGTTAATATGACAAATGAATATTCCGTCAAAAAATATTACAAAATTTCAGTATTTCGAGAAATCGTGACGATATACCATTTACAACGTTGCCAAATCTACATGTTGTTTATACTAAATCTTCCTAAGTATTTATTTAAACTCGCCAGAAATCGCTAAAAATTTGCAAGAAAAAAAAAGAGACACACCTGGACACACTATAGAATTGCATAATCAAGGTTTTCGAATCAATGACATTATCGTAATCGTTTTCGCATCATGTAAGACAGAGGAAACGAGCCCGAGTGTACTTTTAATGACGTAGATAAAACGCTAAGTAGGTAGGTTCGTGAACGTATACAATTTGACGTGATTAGAAGTAGTGTACAACATGAAATTTTCCACGTGGATATGCAGTCGAATATAAAACTAATGAATGAAAACAAACTGGAGAATTCACAATTATCTAACACGTTTTTTGCATAGATGTGTATTTACAGGATGTACCCTGAAACTATGCATTTTCTTGCAGGAAATGCTGGACAAATATGAAAATTGCAACTCAAATTCGGACATTTTGACGAAATTCACGTCAATATGTGGCCCGTTTGAGACAATCTACAGAGTACAGAATATTGTGGTGTAATTCCTAAAGGCACAAGAAACATAGGTATGTCAGTAAATGAGTCATTATTTCGAGAAAATAAAGAAACAACAATAGTTACCTATTAGTTTAGTTCTTAGATAAATAATTAATATTGATTTCCATAGAACTTCTCCATGATTATATTGCTCCTTACATTATTATGTGTAAATGTATGCATGCATGTTCATATAGATAATTTGCCATCAATATGAAATATGATCTTGACAATAGAATAAATAGTATAATTAGGAACAAGATACCAACTATAAATCTACCCAGATAGGTAACTAGGTACAGACCTAGGTACTTACTATTTTTCATGATTTTAGGTAGCAAAGTACCTACCTATATTGTTCAGGTAGCTAGATAACTAGTTGTCATTCATCCGGTCAAGATCAATATCACTTGACTACCTATTTTTAGTTATGCATGGCCTAGATTCACAGCAACAGGTGGCTTTTATATGTTCTGAAATATTTCGGTGATTTCCTAGCATATGAATAGTTTTGTAATAGAGTAATAACTGAAAATCTGCTTTCCTGCTTCTGATATGCAATTTTACTGGGTCTTCAATCATTTTATTCAGTCTAAATTATTCATATATTTCATGTTTATTTTATACATACCTATTGATTAGGGAAAGAAATAGAAAAAACTAATGATATGATTCCAACTATGATAATATTGTGATTATTAAATACTCACTTGTTTCGGCATCTTGTGTTTATATCAACAGTATCCAATCTGTAAATAAAAAAATGGATTTCAAAAAAACTATGAAGATAATACCTATACACCTACTCAATTATTGTTTGATAGTGATAGCACCAAATAGGTACATAATTAGCAAACAAAACAGGTTTGACACCAGTTGGCACATTTAAATAATTCAATAGTGATAATCAATTACACAGAACTTGGAGATTACCTCATCAATGGAAAAAATTACTCAGTACGTGGATTGAATTTCAACTACTACCTACCTCTATCAGCTTAGAAAAGCAGCATGACTAAGAATCGAGCTGAGAATATATACTGGACAAATATTTGTTTGTGTACATTTCACCTTAAATGCCTAATAATACCTGTATGAATGTCCTAGGTACCTGTTTGTAATCTGATTAATCAACAACTTGACTCTACTGATTACTCATCTTCTACAAATCTATATCCTCAATCTCCCACACAAAAATTCAGAAATCGTCTTATCGCATCGCTGTTAGATTATACACGGTGATTATACTGATATTCTAATATCTTCTGGTTAATTTTCTGCTGCAACAAGTACAACTAGTACAAGTAGCAGGTAGGTAGTAGGCAGTGGTTTGGTTTGTCAGTTGAATATAGTCATAGCATAGCCGGTACTTTGTTCCTGCTAGGGCGCTTGAATTTACTGTGCTGAGAGAGGCGTGCGATTTTTTTATAGTAAACATGGAAACTTACCAAATATGTTAAACTTCAAGCCCTACACACTTTTAACCACCACATGTATGAACACACGCGATTTTTTAACGGGCACACACCCTTTGCTTTTGCAAACACGAATCAACTTATCTGTGGTCGTGACTGTGACAGACTGACGAGTGACGAGTGACGACTGACAGGCGAGTGCATCACAATGTTACCACCCATTTTGCTAAAAATCTAAAATAACTACATTCTGAAAACAGTGATGATTGTGGGGCGACTCCAAGAATTATACTATACGATATAATATCATATAATCTTGAATGTGTCATGCAACTGCCCATACGTCATATGTTGAATATATTTGGCAAAAAATTGTGAAGGCCGAATGAGGGATAACGGGGCTACCATTATTTATATTATTTTATTGATCACCAGATCGCGCTACTGAAACGTTAGGTCAGACAGTTGGTAGTACTGATAAATATACTTCTTTTTTCGTGTAATTCGCGATAGAAAATAAGCGTACGCCACCTATCGGAGTTCATGAAAGCTGTCAAAGCGGCATGTTTACTTTGTTTTCATTGGTTCACATTCGTTTTTTGTTTGTGCTTATGGCACAGTAGAGACAAAACGAACCGCTCAGAAGTGTTCAAGTTGCTGCCTTCAGGTGGGGCGACGTGTTATTTTCTATCGCGAATTGGGCCTCTTGAATTTGATTCTTCTTCTCCGTTAAAGGATAATAAAACGTGAATCTGCTCCAAGGATCATAAACTCTGTCTCTCCATAACTTGAAGTTTTCTATTTGTTTTAATTATTCTACATATTTTTTTCCGAATATTTTATTATTTTTTGATAAATCAGGCCACAGCCTTTAGAACTACTTATCCGGCAAAATTTTGGAATTTTTCACTTGACTTCACATTACTGAACTATATGGAGTGTCTTTTTACTTTTTAATATACATATTGGATGGAATGTATTGCAAAAATTGTGTTTGTGCAATAATTTGCTGCATAAATTGACATTTTTACAATACATGAAGAGCAATATAATGTATGTAAAAACTATTATTTTTGCTACACATTGCGGCAATGTATTGCAAAAATTGGAATTTTTACAATACATCGCCACAATGTGTTGCAAAAATGAAACGTTTTTACAATACATTGATTTCAATGTATTGCAAAAACTGATTTATACCTAGGAATGCACGATGTTCTTTGAACATTATAGGTATTCCCTTTCGTGCGCTCCAAGCGATAAAAAAAATAGCCAATGTATTGTAAAAACAAACTATTGAACAATACCTACATTATTGCTAGCAATATACATATATTGAAATAATTGATATAGCAAAATTCATCAAATGCAATACCTAATAACCCATTTGCAATACATTAATAAGCCTCATGTATTGAAAGTAAAAACATGGTAAAAACTACTTCTTAATATACATTGGATCGCATATGTACCTATTGCAAAAACTCATTTTTGCAATACATTAAGCCTGCTCATGTAGGTATTGCAAAAACAATAGATGGAGACTTTATGAGTTATCGCAAAAATTCATCACATCCATACTGTGATGAAATTTTATGAATTGCAAAAATGGCAATTTTTACAATACTCCCCGATTACAATGTAGCGCAAAATATCAGTTTTTACAATACGCACATGCATCCTAGTTTCGGAGAAAAAGATGAACTCCATTTGTATTAAAAAGTAAAAAAGACCTCCATACTATATGAATAAGTTTTGTACCTACTGCAGATAGCCAAGTGGACGACGCCACTTGCTTGCCTATGTATGGAACGATCCCAGGTTCAAATCCCTACTCACCCTCGTATAATCCTTGTACTTAAGATAAAAGATACCCTTTTTTTTTTCTTTTTATGCTTTGCTCACGGCCGGAAGTGGAATCCGTGTCGTTAGCCGCCTGTTGAGACGATGAGTATGAAGGTTTGGAATGCTTCGTAAACGGCAAAAGCTCATGTAAATTGCTGGTATATGTATGTAAAGGCAGACAGGATAAATCACAAAATAAAATCAATTACAAAAAAAGATTTCTGAACTTCCGATACAAAATTATAATGTCATTTATAGTTCCTCCAAGTCCAAGTAGGAACCATAACGTGTATTGTAAGGGGACTTTATTTTATTTCGAAAAAAACTGATAATACAAGCACATCACTGGTGCGTTAAAAGTGATCAATCTTGGAGTGATTTTCGGGCAAAGTACACATACAGGGTGAACAACTAAGCGAACGGCTGTCATCAATCCTTTTTCCAACTTTGATCGTCAATATCTTCCGTTAGCCAAAAACTATCATGCATTACGAGATACAACATTGAAACACAAGGATCTCATTTTTCTTATTTGTTTACAAAGGATTGAAATAGTTATTCACAATTATTTTGGCATAAGAATCGCGTTTTTCGGCTATTCATTATAAAATTTGAGCATTCCAATATTATATCAGATTGTGCTGTTGTACAATGCACAAAAAATGCAGCGAGACGAAGGAATCCGATTTTTCAGGTAGGTTCATTACATTGTGATTTAAAAGTACATATTGTTTTCTTTTTGAAATGTCATTTGCCATTGGATTTCCTTCTGCAACACGAACTAATAATAGAAATACTCGTGAAATTGCTAAAAGATGGCAATAAGATTGGATTCATGCAATCAAACGGGAGGACTGGTCTGACGAAATATGATTGTGTGTGTTGTAGACATTTTTACTCTATTAGCAGTATTAGCACCGTATAGAAGGTGGCAAAACGAATCATAGTGAAAAAAAAAACAATGAAAACTATATGAGATCACTTTTGACATAAAAAATCATATTCCTTCGTCTCTCGCTGCATTTTTTGTGCATTGTACAACCTCACAATGTGATGGCATGCTTGAATCAATGAAAAACCAAAAAAAAAAAACAACAAAATAATATGCTAAAATATTGTGAAAAACTATTTCAATCCTTTGATTACTTTGTAAACAAATGAGAAAAGTGAGGTTGTCGTGTTTCAATGTTTTACCTTCAGAACCGGTCATCGTGCACGCGCCCTATAGGAGCAAGGAAAAAATAAAAAAGTCAAGTACTTATTTATTTTCGCAATGTTGATTATTCAAACTAATAATGAAATAAATAAAATGTTTATTCAAATATTTTGTTTTTCGTGAAAATATATAGCTCATCAACCTTTCCTCAGGCTACGCCTGATGATTCGTCTGTACATGGTGCCTCCTCAACGAACTCTTATCAGTAAACGACTTATCGCAGTCCCTACACCGGAAAGTCTTCCCTGTATGCGTCACCAGATGCCTGCTGAGCCCCGAAGCGTGGCAAAACACCTTCGGACACAACGAACAATAGTGCAACTGGATGTCTTCTGGTCCCGAGTTCAGATGCGACCGCATGTGGTTCTTCAGCGGCTCCTTCTGCGTGAAGCCCCTGTCGCACTGGGGGCAGTTGAAGGGCTTGTGGCCGGTGTGCGTCATCAGGTGCCTGAAGAGGATCTCCTTTTGGGCGAAACTCTTCTGGCACACCTCGCATTGGAAGGGCCGCTCTCCCGTGTGGATCCTCTCGTGGCGAATGAGGGCCGAGCGAGTGGGGAACCACTTTTCGCATATGCCGCAGGTGAAACCTAGAGTCACTCGATAGTATTAGTCCCTTGATGGAAATTGAAGTTAAAACGTTGATTGATATATTACGCTTACGCTGGGGTAATATATCAATCAACGGTTAAAGTCATCTTAACAGGGTACGGACAGATCCTCGTCTCCTCTAACTCTAAAGTGTTTGTGAAACAGTTATATAGTTTTATCTTTATTCATTTCTGGGATTGACCTATCCAAGATGCTGTCAAACCATCTAAATCAATATGGCCGACTGTAGGCACACATACTTTCGTATCGCAATATCTTTGTTATAGCGGTCCAAGGATAATAAATATCCACTTTTATTCAAAACAGCCATTATTATTATTTGATATATCTACCAAAGATTATACTGCTGCTACGTAAATCAACAAAAAATACTTGTGTGCCTACCGGCGGCCATTAAAAATTTGTCAAAAGTCACGTGTTCTGGAATGCCTAGTTTTTTAGGTTATATTGAGGACATTGGCGTATCATACGTAATTTCCACATGTAATTTCTCATTCAATATAAATATTGAAAAGGAATATTCTCAGATAAATTATGAACATACAGAAATGGATATATATTTATATTAAGCAATACATTGAGAATTCGCATTCTCTATGTGATGAGAATATTTACTCTTTTTCAGTTTATTCAATAGAAAACAACTACTTTCCTGGCTATATGCCACGACGAACATTGAATTAATTATATCTATTCAACACACATGATAAGAGTTTGAAAATAAAATATGAAAACTTCTGAAATTGAGAATTTGCATTCTCCTTCAGACAAAAATATGTATATGCACACATCATTCTGAATATTCAACAGAAAACAACTACTTTCCTGGCTATTTGCCACGTCGAACATTGAATTATATCTGTTGAATATCCAAAAAGAGAGCATGAAAAATCAAAATTCTCTGAAATTGAGAATTGACATCATCTCTCAAATCGAATAGAATAATATAATGTATTATGATATAAAAATATAACTTACTGATATGTTCAGTATTGAATTGAAAACTGAAAGGTATAGGAGAAGTATACTTTCATGAACTCTGATCTTGATGAGCTTGGAACTTCCAAAAAAATCATTCGTATCAGTGATATTGGAATTATATCTCTCACAAACAGGTAATATGACTTCACTCAAATAAACTCATTTCGGATATCAAATCCTCATCAGTAACCTGAAGTCCAGTTATTCTTTCAGCCATTCTCCATGATATACACAATTTTCATCTCCCTATAATATAACTAAAACTATAACGGACTGACATCTGAGAATTATTATGATTTGTTGATATCTCCTGTCATTTAAGCATTGGTTTTTTTGGATGTGGGATAAATAGTCCAATAATTAAAGGGAAAAAGTTAACATTAATTACGCACTATTTTCATCTTCCGGTTGGAAGTAGCTTTTGGTACCTCATTAAACTTGAGACAAAGTTTGACTGGAAAACGCGTGCGATGGCGGAGAAAATGACCTCAATAGACCAGAAAGATAGGTTTTCAGCCAATATCTCCTAAAATATGGCAGTTAGAGATTTTCGGTTCAGATAAAAATTGAAGTTCAGTTAATTTTCTACAAAAATGGTCTTCATCATTTTTCTCGAAAATTTGCCCGGTTTCGAGAAAAACGGCACGAAGCGCACCTCGAATAATGAGCATCTGTTATATGCCGGAGAGCACAGTCCGAGGCACAGGGCACAGTCCGTGTATTTACACATCGGCGGGGGGACAAATTATTCAATAACTTTGTTGAAAATGCATAATTTCTCATGATTCAAAGTTCCTGTGAAACAGGAATTCTGCTGCTATCATACCCTGTGAATTGAGTCACGCTTGACTCTTTTGGTCATATCGGAGCATGGGTCAAACTTTCTGCTCCCGGTCAATTTTGACCTCGCCAGGAATTTGTTCTTTTTTTTTTGTATTGCACTAATTTACTCAAAATTCTCTTGATTATGGGTCCTCATAAGGTCCTTCGTCATCCCTGAAATTTATATACCCTATTTTTTTTAAATTTTCATTTAATATTTGTTTATTGAATCTCAATTTTTTGCTGTTTTTGGAGCGCGGGGAAATTTTGTGAACAACCATCAATTAAAAATGTATACATGATCCGATTGGTTTCTATGATACATCATTTGAAAGCTAAGAAGGTCTACTTTTCGATTGTGCAATTACTTTGTTAGACGAAGTCGTCCATTTTTCAATAAAATTAGAAAAAGCGGGGTCAAGGAAAAAACGCACTTTTTTTTCGGTGGTTTTTTTCTCCGTGCTATTTATTTCTAACATTTTAACACCTTAACTAGTGTAACGGGGGAATTCCCACCTTTCCATCGATGTATATAAGTCATACCTTTGATATCCCGGGAAAAAACCAGTATATCTAAATGTACACGCTATAATTTATTACTTTCGTTCCTCCGTCGTTCGCCGCGTGTGTGCTCTACGTGGCGCTCGGGTCGTCTGCTACAAACCATGCGGCCACGCAGGGTATGATAGCAGCAGAATTCCTCTTTCACATGAACTTTGAATCATGAGAAAATATGCATTTTCAACAAATTTATTGAATAATTTGTCCCCCCGCCGATGTGTAAATACACGGACTGTGCTCTCCGGCATACACACAGAAGCTCATTATTCGAGGTGCGCTTTGTGCCGTTTTTCTCGAAACCGGGCAAATTTTCGAGAAAAATGATAAGGAACATTTTTGTAGAAAATTAACTGAACTTCAATTTTTATCTGAACCGAAAATCTCTAACTGCCATATTTTAGGAGATATTGGCTGAAAACCTATTTTCCTGGTCTTATGGGGCCATTTTCTCCGCCATCGCACGCGTTTTCCAGTCAAACTTTGTCTCATGTTCAATGAGGTACCAAAAGCTACTTCCAACCGGAAGATGAAAATAGTGCGTAACTAACGTTAACTTTGCCTTTTTTTCCTCCTTCATTTATTGGACTAAAATTGATATTCATCATACAGGACGTGGAAAGAAATTCTGAATTGAGAAAAATCTAATCACGAATCTGCGATTGAGGTCTATAAAAATAACAAGTTTCCATCGTTCAAGTTTGAACCCTTGGATGAAAGTATGTATATGCCAATATATTTAAATCGAATGGGTTGCTGTAGGTGGATATTTTTGTGTTTTATTCTGGTTTTTGCTTTGAAACTTCGTTTTTTCCATAATAAAATCGAAATGGATGCGAAGAAGGGCTCAGTTGACGACTGGCATCCTCTTTTGGCCAGAAGCCCAGCAAAATCGGCTCAATAATGATCTAAAAGTAAAATTGAAATACGCGGTCGCCTTATAGCGCCATAAGCGCTTGTCGTTTCGAGCCGCTGTTAGGCCTCACTAAGGTGACGTCACCACGGAGCCTTCAGGCCTTGCTAGTATCGGGGATAACGTCTCACCTCGTTGTTGCATGTGCACGGAAGCGTGCCGGCTGAGCTGGATCCGCCTGGGGAAGGACTTGGGGCAGTCGGGGCACCGGAAGACGGGGATCTCCTCCTCCTCCTCCTCCGCTTGGACGGCCTTCTCCTTGTTGGGCGGTTTCAGCGCTTCCGCCTCCTCCTCCGTCATCAGTTCCATCACGATGACGGACCCGTCCTCGGTGGTCACCTCCACTTGCGTCGACTTGCCGTCGGTGTGGTTGACCTTCATCTGAAGCTGACCGCCCAGGTTCAGGCCTAGAAAGGCGGAGTTTCTTTCAGATGGATTTTCATAAAATGAGTTCGGAAGTTTTATGTCCCTGCTGTACAATAAAGTCCTAGTATTTCGAATTGACTCGGCCGTTACTTGATGGAAATCTATGGCAAATGTAAAAACTTCACAAACGATAAGATTTTCACAAAATTCTTAAACACAACACACAACATGTTTCGCTAACACAGTAGCTTCGTCAGGTGATATATTGGTACAATGAACTAAACCAGCGGTCGGCAACCTTTTGGCAGGCAAGGGCCACATGGTGGCAAATTGAATTAAAGGCGGGCCGCACTTGTTCATTATTTCGATCATAGGTACTTGTGATAGGTAGGTATCAAAAATACGGAAAAAATTTATACGAAATTTATTGAACATTTAAACAAGAACTTCAAGTGTTAGGTATACCCCAGGAATTAGTGTGACGTTTGAGGCTGTATTTGAGTGGCTATTTGTTGTATGTTAGCTTTCAGGTTTGTAGTTGCAATCCGTAGAATAGCTCTCAAATGCTCATCTGTGAGACGAGAAGCATATTTATTTTTCCTGTAATTAAGAATCGAAAAGGTTTGTTCGCATAAGTAAGTACTACCAAAAAACGTAATCAATTGCAGAGCAAATCTTTTCAATTCGTCAAAATCAGATGGCAAACTGCCATAAAATTTAACAAGATCTTTCATTTCATGGAAAGAGTTTTTCAGAGTGTCATTAGATTGGAGATCAATCACGTTCATTTGTAAATGACTGGGAACATCCTCAATATCACAAGAAAAAGGGTTTGTGAACACCTTCAGTTTGCCAGACAATTCCTCGAAATCACCAAATCTGTCGCTGAATTGATTTTGTAGCTGTATTAAAATGCTCTTCATTTTATCGCATTTCCAGTTGAAATGCATTCCAGCTTCCTCCACAGCCTTCTTGCAGTTCGGAAAATGATCCAACTTCTTTTCGTTGATATGTGTTATGAACAGCTTGTTTTTCATTTGAAATGCTTTTACATCTGTGTGCATATCAGATATTAATTTGTTTTTTCCTTGAAGCCTTACATTCAGCGTATTCAACTCATTTGTTAAATCTGTCAAAAATCCAAGGTCTATTAACCACTGAGGATCTGTGAGTTCTGGAACAGATTTTTTCTACAAGCGTGCGTGATTCACCCTATACCCGCACGCAATTTAGTTTGGGAAGTGTCATTTTCCCGCAACAGTGCGGGAAAACAAAGGTATGATAAAATCGCTAGTAATATAAGTGGTTGGTGATTGAATATATTAGTTTAAGTTTATTTGTTGCAGTATTAAGTATGTATGTTCAGAATTATCCATCAAATTGCACTATTTATTGTAAGAATTAAGAAATATTGAGAAATAAAAATTGATTATTATCAAAATCCCCCTATACATTTGGATTGATCTGACGGGAAACGTCAATTTGTCATGCCAATCAAACCGCAAATAAGTTTGAAATTGTCGAAGTGACAGACACAGCGTTACTGTCATTTTCGTTTCAGTGGAAATGCCAAAATATGATCAAAAACTTCTAGCTATAGGTATTGGATACAGATGCGTTATCACCAACGAAGTCTTAAGAAAGGTATGAGGAGCTATACACGAGTTTTATTGAATGGTGCAACAATAAAGAAATGAAAAAACCGAATGAATAATAGGTATTTTTGGCTCATTTCATAGAAGTGTCTGGAACCTAGAGACCAAACTCCTAATGAACCTGCCTGCTGGCTTCCGCAATGAACCAACATAATGCGTCAAACTGTAAGTTCACAATAGCTATTACTAATAATTAATAGATAGAGAATATATATCTCTTCTTAGTTGTTCCTATTTGCTTGAATAATTAATTGAACGATTCAATCAATTTCCTACGCTTGTAGAAAAAATATTGTTCCTAACTCATGCGGAAAGTGTCTTTCCCGCACTCGACTGCTTGCCCGAACTCCGCTTCGCGTCGTTCGTGTCAACGGCAGTCACGTGCGGGAAAGAATCACTTTCCGCACTTGTTAGGAAAATTACTATACCTTTTTCATCCATGAAAGTGTTGATTTCTTTTCTGAGATCAAAAAATCTTTTCAGTACTGCGCCTCTGCTTAACCATCTCACTTCAGAATAATACAGGACATCTCGGTGATCTGCTTCCATATCTGAAAGAAACTGTTGAAATTGGCGATGTGTCAATCCATTTTTTCTGATGTAGTTCACAGTGGATATGACGACGTTCATTATTTCTTGCCATGCTAGAACTTTGCAACATAAAGCTTCCTGGTGGATGATGCAATGAAAAAATAATGGGATATCGCATTCTATCTCTGCCATTTTAGTTTTTATTCTACCAACCAGGCCCTTGTTTTGTCCACTCATGTTTCTGCCTCCGTCAGTTGTTACACTTACCAATTTTTTCCATGGTAATTGCATTGATACTAACGCTTGTTCTAATTGACGAAAAAGATCTTCTCCTGTAGTCGTTCCTTTCAAACTACATAACTGTAAAAGTTCCTCACATACATTGAAGTTCTCATCGATTCCACGAACGAATATTAGGAGCTGGGCAGTATCTGAAACGTCAGTACTTTCATCGGTAGCTATTGAGAACCATTCAAATAATTGTGCCTTTTCTCGAAGTTGCTCGCATAAATTATCACCCAAATCTTCAGTGCGCCGGGTACACGTTCTGGCAGATAAACTTATATTTTCAAATTTCTTTTTTTGATCTGGGCACACCTCCTCAGCCATAACTATGGCACATTGTTTGATAAGTTCACTGTCGGAAAACGGTCGCCCAGACTTTGCGAGTATTTCCGCTACCCTTATGCTCGCACGTACATTCGACTCGTTATTTTGAATTTGAACCTTAAAAACGTTTTGTTGGTTCTTCATTGAAGATTTGAGTGAATTGATTTTGATTTTTCGTCCATCACCCACAAGACATGAAAACTTGGTTTTATGCTCAGTATCGTAGTGGCGTTTGACGTTATATTCTTTTTGAATAGTAATCGTTTTTTGGCATATTAAGCATAGTGGTTTTCCATTATAATTGATAAAAAAATACTTATCTGTCCATGAATCATTAAACATTCTGTTTTCTTCCGGTAACTTCCTTTTTTTTGAAGCCATAACTACAACCCGGATTGCATTCTGCAACTTGCAACAAAAGAAGTTGAAAACATACTGTGTACTCAGTTAATTATGGCAAAAAAAAATCTCTCACACTTACCGAAATTCGAAAAGAATAGTAGGTATTAGTACGCTGACCACGGCGCGTCGTGACGCGGATGAAGGTATAGGTCTCGAGCTCGAGTCTCGCAGTAGGTTCAGGTTTGTTTGGTACTTATTTCGCTGGAGCTTGAATCAACCGACACAAACGGAACGCGGGTGACAAATGATTAATAACAATAATAAGTTATTCGAGTCAATCGCGAGCCCTTCGTGTTTCGTGTCCGTTCGATCGTCGGCGCAGTAGGGGCGCCTCCTGACCAAATTATTGCTGGTTCACAACGCTGATCGCAGATCGGGAACGCTTTTTGTATGCATTCTATCTTTTTATATTTGCGCATGTACTTATTTATGTACACAGTTAGGTAAATACTTTTATTTTTTCATTTATATAACAGTCACGGGCCGCAAGGCATAGGCCTGCGGGCCGCGGGTTACCGACCGCTGAACTAAACCAACGTTGGCTTGCTTAACTTTTATATATCCTACTTTCCCAACTCGAAGGATTAATTACCTGTGGACAGGATCGATAAATCTCCATTTTCGGAAATTAGGCACAATATCTACATTAAATTACGGTATACCGGATTAACTTGAAAGGGTTGATAGCAAATGAATATTATTACCTACTAAGAAAACAAATTCAACAGTGGTGAACTATTGAGGTCTAATTGATCGTTAAGTAAAATGTCAAAATTTTTCAGTTTGTTGATTTCTAATGATTCAAAATTATTGAGTTTCAGTCCTTTATTTTCTACATGTAGAATTTCGAAATTATCATCAAAACAATGGTTTTCTTCTAATATATGGTTGGCGTATGTTGAATTTGTTTTTTTTGAAAAAAATCATCGTATGTTCATGAATGCGCTGATTAATCGTACGACCTGTCTGACCGATATATACCTTAGGACAAGATCCATAGTTGAGTTTGTATACCCCTGATTTTTCGAATTTAATTTCTTGGGAAAGTAGGATATATAAAAGTTAGGCAAGCCAACGTTGGTTCAGTTCATTGTACCAGTATATCACCAGACGAAGCTACTGTGTTAGCGATACATGTGTGTTAAAGAATTTTGTGGAAATCTTATTGTTTGTGAAGTTTTTGCAAAGTCCTAGTGGTTTTTATTTTCAGGAGAAAGCAATTTCCATATTGAGGTTATTATTTTACTGTGAAGTTTGTAAAAAATTTATACAAATTTCACTTCAGAAAAAAAATGAATAAAAGAGAAACTTGGATCCTCCACCATTCCTATGACTTACTTTCTGAAAATCCACATTCACACAGAGTTAAAATATTCCCTATGCCAGTACGACGTTGCCGACATCATGAATATGTCTCGATTTCCGGAAATTGTTCTTTGAATGTATAATAACTATATCATAACAGCAATTTGATATAATAGGTTCTTCAATTTGTCAAGTATTATGAATAATTCCCATAAATCTCTTATTGGCTGAATGAAGTTGATTACTAATAAAGATAAAATATGATATTTTGCGATAGTATCTAAAACTTTTTACTATCATTATATTACAATATGTTATTTATAACTAGTCAGTCATTAATTAAACGAATCTATTTTCTAGGAAAGATGCAGATTATATCTTGCAACAGCGCCTAATACTTCGAGTCCGTCCACACCACTCAAAATACTGACAGGCACAACAAGAGGAAGGAGCCAGGGGTGTCGGCTTCATTCTGCTCTAACCGATTGCAGTAAATTAGGAAATATAGTATCATTGAATGTAGCCGATAGTGATTCATTGATTCAATGATATTTATTTTCGTTTAGGATCGAGCTCTATTCCAGATATTTCAATGCATAAATAACAAAACCATAGCTTGTCAGAATGAAGCCAACTACCCTCTGCATTCCTGCTCCGAGTGCATTTGTGGTTATGCATGTTTTTGTTTACCAGTTTTACTTCTTCAATTTATTTCATCCGTTTTTCATTCTTTAGCTATGCGTTAGCTATTTGCTGGCAATATAAAATTAGAAATTGCTTCAATTTGAAAATGAAAACGACTCAGACTTTATCGGTCGCTATTCTGTACAGCGTGGACATAAAACTGGAGAGTTCCGAACTGAATGAATGAAAATTCATCTGAAGGAAACTTCCCAATTTTCGGGGAGACAAACTATGAAGTAAATTCTGAATCTAGTATGAATATATAGCTAATGATGAAGAAAATAGGTAGCAAATAGCTAACCAATGAAGAACAAATTGAAAAAATAGAAGAAGAAGGAGACAAATTGGCGTCCTTGATGGTTACAACTATAAACTGTAGATATGATAGGCTAACGAATAACTGGAAATCAGAAATCGACACAAGTAATACTGGCGAACAAGAGCATACATAATCACAAAATCAGATCAGCTCTGGATGTGCCTGTTAGTACTTTGTGTGGTGTGAAACAGGCTCAAAGTATTATGTGCTGTTGCAAGATATAATCTGCAACTTTCCTAGGAAACAGATCCGTTTTACAAAGGAACAGATTCATTTGAAAAAGAAAAAGACGAGTTATCATTGTCATTTTGTGATATAACGAAAGTGAAAAACTATAGATACTATTGCAAAATATCATAACGTATTTTTATCAAATGTAAAAACTTCAAAAACGATAAGATTTGCACAAAATTCTGTTCATTCAGTTGATTGTAATCGTTTGTTAATTTTTTACATTTTCCATGGATTTCCATCAAGTAACGGCCGAGTCAATAAAAAATAGTATATTACACACCGAGGTGGGAAGTGATTCATTCCTGTCGTGAGATTAGTTAGTTAACCGAGACGCGAAGGGTCGAGGTTAGCTATAATTTCGTGAAAGGAATGAAACTTCCTACCGAGGTTTGTATACTATTTTATTTACAACCATCATATTTCGATCAAAATTAATAAATCTATGTTTCGTTCTGAACATACCTGAATTATTACATGAGTGAGGGCGGGAAATAGTGAGAGGCAGGAAGTGAGGGCAGGAAGTAGAGGTGTGTAATGTGAAACTTCCCAACCTTCAATGACGTTAGTAATGACAACATTACATATATGGTTGTAAATAAATATAATTTACACTTCCGCATGCTTAGCTCTGACCACATCAATCAAAATATGACTGTGATTAGGATGGCTACAAGGGACATACTTGAAAAAATGTAATGCAAATTATCTTTTGAAGCCATCCTCATCTCTGTCTTCTCTTCACTCTTCTACTATTTACCTGTTTGTTGAGCGAGTGTTGCCTTGACAGCATCTGCAATTGCATCCATGTTTGCCTCCTCCATATGATTGCTTTGGTCTACTTCCCCTACTTCATCGGTCATCTCAGTATCTTCGATTTCCGTCTTGAGATCATCACCAGATTGAAGTGTGCAGGCGTCCCTGCCTGTTGCATCATCGATTGATAAGGTTATTTCCTCTGGATCAGGTTCCGGGTCTGTATCCGGATTGATAAACGCCACTTTGGTAACACCTGTAACAAGTTTCGAGATCAACAGGTGCATTTCAATGCGATTTTTCCTCAAACCTACCAACTAGATCTTGTTCTGTGTTGAGCTGCTCATCCTCATCTGCTTGTCCTTCCTGGACGTTACCTTCTTCTATCTCCTCAATCTCTATTCTTATATTATTGCCAGTCCTGATATCATCCGATTCGCCAGGTAGATCTCTCAGATGCAATCTCAGTTTTAGGTCAGTGTTTTCACATTTCTTTCGAAAGTTGTAGAACTTGTCCAACTGATAATGGCAAGGGCGGCATATTTTATCGGGTAGCCCATCACCCTCAATAACCTTGAAAATTTATATATGGAAATTTTAAATATCACAAAAATATACTGGAATCGGGGTCGGTTAGGGAGTAATCAAATATCTGTCAGTCTAATTCTGTGTTCTTTCACTTCATTCTCGGAGACCGTGTTATTGGCTTAAAGAAGGTCCGGCAATTATTGCCTCCAAGTTCGATGATTTTTTCGTTAAGGCTCCTATCGAATTGGTTAAACAGATACCTCCAAATAATAATTGGGTTTTTGATAATGAAAGGGATTTCAAGCCTTACACAATGTTTTTGAACTCATTTACGGAACATGAATTACTCTCATTGTTGAAAAACAAACTAAAGAATAAAAAATCGTCTGGTCCAGATGACATACCGATGTTTATATTGAAAAGAGTTCTTCCTTTGATAATATTACCATTAACACATCTGGTAAATACGTCATTTGTGAGAGGTGATTTTCCACACAAGTTAAAAACTGGTGAAGAAAGAAAGACACAACCCTTGTGGAAAATTATCGTCCTGTAACAGTCCCTTGTGGACTCTCGAAAGTTTTCGAACATGCCTTTTTGGAAAGTCTTAATTCCTTTCTCGATTAACATTGTGTCTTGAGTAATAGGCAGCATGGATTTCGTTCTGAAAAATCTACGATCACAGCTATGTTCTAATTACTGAACAAAACCATAGAATATGTTGATTCAGGTGAATATCCAGCGGTAATTTTTTGTGATCTTAGTCGAGCTTTCGACTGTGTCAACCATCAAAAACTGAGGTCGAAATTAAGGCGTATGTCTTAGTTGGTTCTCGTCATTTCTTCGCAATCGAAAGCAATTTGTTTCCTTACAAGTAAAGTACATTGATGACTGGCGAGGGGCAAGGGGTTGGGTGTTTTGGCTGGTTCAAGATTCAGAATTCTGATCACCCTGTATCTGTTCCGATTGAATATCAGTATATAGTAAATGAAAAGTTGAGATAGGGCATGTGAGCCGTTTTGACCGATAATGAATAGTTTGGGCACAAACAAATCCTGAAGTTGAAAAATCTCTGTAATCATTCTCGATAGACCCCAAGTTTGATGTATTGGTGATACAGCTCTCCAGGGTGAATCTAAAATGCAATGAAATACAGGGTATTCTATATGATATAACAAAGTTGTTGCTACTTTTTGATAGAAACGGCAACACTGTATTGCTGAAATTATTTGAAATGAAGAGAACGCGTATTCTAAAATATAAGCATGCATATTTTCATGTATTTCTCCTGAATGATTCTCGATATAGAGATATAGTATAAGCTTGTCGTGACATACCCTGTATGTTTCGTACCGTTTTTTATATTTTTTCCGATCGAGGAATACTCTCTTCTGATTTTCGTGCTTTCTGTTCGAAACTGTATTTTTTTCAAATCTACCATCTTTTAATAACTGTGATACAGAACGTAATCTCGATTTTGGCAAAATCTTCATCTATGGTCAGGTCATAACTTTTGAACCACTGTGTATAATCGATTCATACTTGGTAGGTATATTCAACTCATATCACTCATCAAAACTAAATAGGAATCGAATTTAGAATCCAGATCCGTCTTCAGGCAAAACAGAAAATTTCTTCTTTCTCAATAACAACACTCTTTATATTAGAATTTTGTAGATATGTTCTGATATCTGCAGGGAGCAGGAAAAATCAATGAATTGGTCTACTTTTCAACAGTGCGCATCCAATTTGAAGAATAGAATGTTAATTGAACTCATAATTCAAAATCCAATTTCATTAAAAAAAACTAATCAGTCCTCAGAATTCAACTTAATTAGAGCTGAATTAGGTGAACTATCGATGGATTTCGTTCCGTAGAATAAATTGTCAATTATTTTAGTTATTTTCGTGTGCTCATTGCATTTTCACACACACAAATGTCAAATTTGATGCGAGCTTATAAAAAGTAGACCACATTGTTCGTTATTTTTCTACTCTTTCCAGTTTTCAAAACATATTTAGAGATTTTGGGAAAGATTATATTTTCAGTCTGTGTTCAATCATTAGACTATCGAAAATAATACTGTCAGAGTATATCCGTGTTCAATACTTCATCTTATATTTTGTATATTATATATCTTTTCACCCCGTATAATTTCATCATAAATAGTCATAGATTTTCCCCCGTATAATTGCATTATCATCATTAGTCATAGATAAATTATGTTTTGTTCGGAAATTAATCGGTTATCAGCATGACTCAACTTATTAGTCATTCATTCGGGACCAGGTGGTAAATCAAGACAGTCTTATATTAGATGTCATCACATACGGTCGAATTTTGTGATCGACATCGAAAAATACGCGAAAGGAATTATTTATCGTTCCAAACTGAGTGTCCCCTAAAAACTGAGTGATAGTATTGATTCGTATATAGTGTTTTTGTATCCCTCATTCGATTCAATAATAATAATATCGGTATCGTGTGTTGTTCAAGTGTTTCGTGTTGTTTCATCAAAGCCTCACTTTCTTCACGCTGGTGAGTGCAGAGAAATTCTCTCAATTTTTCCTCATCTCTGTATTCATTTAACTTCATTACCCTATACAGGGTATGTCACGACGAGCTTACACTATCTTTAAATCGAGAATCAGTCGGGAGAAATCCATGAAAATGTGCATGCTTATATTTTGGTATACGCTCTTTTCATTTGAGATATGTTCGACAATGCAGTGTTGCCGCTTCTACTAGAAAGTAGTAGCAACATTGATATTTCGAACAGAACACCCTGTATTTTATCGCATTTCAAGATTCTCCCTGAAGAGCGGATTTCATCGATATATCATACTTGGGGTCTATCGAAAATGATTACAGAGATATAGGGTGTTCAAAATCGATATTTTTCAACTTTAGGATTTTTTGTGTCGAAAATATTCATTATCGGTCAAAACAGCTCACATGTCCCTATCTCAACTTTTGTTTCACTATTTACTGATATTTAATCGGAACAGATACAGGGTGCTTCAAGATTCAGAATTCTGATCACATGCATATTTTCATGTATTTCTCCCGACTGATTCTCGATATATAGAGATAGTGTAAGCTCACCGTTTGTTGTATTTTCTCCGATCAAGGAATATTGTCTTCTGATTTTCGTGCTTCCTGTTCGAAACTGAATCTTTTAAGAATTTACCATCTTCAATAAATGTGATACAGAACGTAATCTTGATTTTGGCAAAATCTTCATCTATGGGTAGGTCATATCTTTTGAACCACTGTGTATAATCGATTCATACTTGGTAGGTATATTCAACTCATATTTCTCATCAAAACTGAATATGAATCGAATTTAGAATCCAGATCCGTCTTCAGGCAAAATGAAAACTTTCTTTTTTAATAACAGTGCGCATCCAATTTGAAAAATAGAATTTTCATTGAACTCGTTATTCAAAAATAGTTATTTATTATACAAGGGAAAAAAGTAGTAGATTTTAGCTCCAGGTTGTGTTGGCTCCCGACGCGTAGCGGAGGGAGACAAAAAACCGTGAGCTAAAATCTAATATTTTTCCCGTGTATAATACACTATTTTTTTCTGTGACAGAAGGAAGGACGAATCAATATTGGGAAGATATTACATTATTTCGAAATCTGAAAATTATCGACGTGAAATTTCAAGTTTTTAACAGTAGGGACACCTGCGTTTTATAGACATCATCATCATTCTTTTGAAGTAATCAAATATCTGATGTCACTTCTGTCAGTTCAATTCTGCGATTTGATTCCAAAAAATTGCGTATTCAGTAGTTGTTCAGTAATATACGAAACCGCGAAGTCGAATGGAAGATAAAAGGACTTGCAGTTCTTTCTCGGAGACGGTATTATTGACTCATTCTTCGGAACTATAGCACAACAAAAGCCATTAACAGAGTATATATATGTGATATATATCCGGGAAAGAAGTACTCACTTTTTTCCCACGGGAAAAAAGTAATTTATGAAAAGTGACATTTTATAACTTGCCAACAGAGATGAAATGCCAAACTTTTTTCCCGTCACAGAAAAAATCCAATTTTATCACAAAAAAATAACCAGTCCTCGAATTACAATTTTGTTAGAGCCGAATTAGGTAAACTATCGATGAATCTCGTTCCATCGAACAATTTGTCAATTATTTTAGATATTTTCAAGTGCTCATTACATTTTCACACACACAAATTAATTAAGTATTTTACACTCTTGAATTTTTGTACGTTGATTCATATTCAGAAATTATTTATTTTAGTATTGTCAGTAATTTTATAAATATATACAGCGTGTCTCACTTTAGACGCCCCCCCCCATATCTCAGCTATTAGTCATGCGATTCCAACCAAATTTGGTGTGGTATGAATAACCATCAATATGATCAGTTTTACAGAGATGACCATTATTTTGGACAGTGCCGTGGGATTTTATTGAACTAAAAAGGGGTCGATTTTTCATCAAATCATATTAGGCATTTTTTTACAGGAAATCTAACCTCATATTATTGTTCCTCATGCTTTCGAACCACCATGTGCAAAAAATCACCCAATTCGGAATTAAGAGGATTGGCTTCATTTTTTTCATTTTCACTCTCGAATAAATAGTCACTTCAAATCAACTAAGAATTTTGGAACGTTCAATGGCTCCGGTAGGTGGAAAATCATGATTTGGAAGGAAAAAAGAGTTATACTTTTTTATGATGAACTCACCGTTTCCGAGTAAATAATTATTACGTTCGCAAAAATGCTGTTTAGATGTGCCTGTTTTTCAGAAATTCTTCATAGGCATCTTATGAAAATCCACATATGTAGGTTTGAAACCATGAAGAACGAAATTTTGAGGTCAGTTTTCCTGTGAAAAAGTGCCTAATAGGATTTAATAAAAAACTGACCCCTATTCATTTCAATACAAATGCACGGCACTGTCTAAAATGTTGTTTGTCCTTGAAGAGCTGGTTATATAGATGATTATTCATACCGATACAAATTTGGTAGAGATCACACGACTGATAGCTGAGATATAG